CATATGCCTTGTCGCAGGAAACCCCTTACCACCTCCCCAGAGTGGGTGAGAAGGCTGGAGATCCGGTGGCAACAGCAGCTCCTGGAGGCTATACTGCTGATGGCTGTGGTAGTGCTGCACCCCCTGCTCCATGCAGCTGCTGACACTGCTTGCACACTGGGCCCAGGTGTGCAGTGGCGCCACGATTGTAAGGATGGGGGAGATTTGCCTCCTCTGAGGGGGCAGAATGACAGACTGTCCCATCCTCAGGTTTCTCTTGGGGCCCACGTTGGGGTCCACTACCAGTATTTGCACCCTGGTCTGGAGGACATAGCTATTAAGCCAGGGAGGAAGATGTTGGACTAAGGCCAGCATTGATCAATATAGGGGAACTGGCTCAAGTGTCTTGGCTCCCTGTTTCCATTATTCTATACTGCTGGAATAAGTTGAGATTCAAAGGAACCCGCGTCAGGTCAGCTCACTGAATGTGGGCCAATTACTTCACAGAGGGTCCTTAACTTTCCTTTAGACATTTTTATACTATATCAGAACCTTCCTCAAACCCTTCTCTAAAAATGTTTCAACATGCAACTCAAAGGTTTTTCTGGGTACTAGAGCTGCCATCCATGATTAGACAAACTGTAACAAAGTTGAGGGAGACATGTTATGAAGTGGACAAGGATAAAGACAAGAACTCATGAGACAGAACGTTTTGCTTTGTATGCCTGGCTGCTCCTTTCACAAAGATTTAGGCATCTCTTAGCTTTGGCAGGCTGGTATAAACACCTAACTCGGATATGGTTCACTGGTGGAGACAGAATGTACCCAAGAACCTGATATTTCCCTTAGTCATCTGAGGTCACTGTGGACACGTAATTTGGGACTCATACAGGCTCCATATCAGGCATTGTGGAGCACAGTTGTTTACGCACACAATCACACTATTTAAACTTTTATACAAAAATTTCCTATGCTGAGTGGTGTCTATGCCACTTGGGAGGTGATAAAACTCCCCTTCCACACTTGAGGTGGGCTTAAGAAAACAGAATTTTCCAGATTTGAATCACCCCTAACATCTAAGGGGGCTCCCCAGAGAGGAGAGGCTGTGCTGCATCTAGCCCTCTCTCTCTCTCACATCCAGAAAGACTGGTCACCCAAATAAATCTTAATTGTGAAGGCTTTCTTACCAGGGTTCCTTTATAGATTTAAAGACTCATGGAGTCTCCTGGGCCCTCATTCTGAGATCCAAGAAAAGCATCTGAGGCCCTGGAATGTCTCAGGTGGTGCCTCCCCTAGAGGTTTACTCAGGCCCGGCTAGCTTCCCAGAGAGACTGTCAATTCTAGTTGTCTAGTCCCTGGTGCCACAAGGCACCAGGAATCTTGCTTGGGCATCCAAATTTTATGACGAGCTCGTGAGATAATCAGAGATGCACAGCTGCATTGTGAATGAGAAGAGTGCTCTATTCACTAGCGGACTGTGGGGACATAGTCTTTCAAATCAACAGCCCAGGACATTCTTGCTGTCCATTTATAAAGACTAAAACCATATCCTCTTGATGCCACCTTGGCATCATTAAGATGATAATGGATACAATAGGGAGCATGAGGAGCTGTTACAAAGGTCAGGGCAATCATTAATGTCTTTATTTCTATGGCTTTTCTGGGTTTTTCAAGGCTATGACTAATCTCTTAATCTTTATGGTTCCTCTCGGTTTCCTAAGGCCATGGTGTTTAGATGAGTCAGGGTGCATATGTGTAGGAACTGCTGGTCAGAAGGAAGTTACTTAAATTACTTTCACACTCTTCTGAACCCAGAAGAGAGCGAGCCACAAACAGCAGATAACCAAAACCCACAGAGAGAATTTGGCAGGTTTCCAAACCCATTGAGATAGCCAAAATGGAAAAACAAAGAAACAAATTCCAAATGAAAAAACAAGACACCTCTATCATAGATGAGATAAATGAAGTGTAGTTAAGCAAGTTACCAGAAGTAGAGTTCAGAGCCATGGTCTTGAGGAAGCTCAACAGCAAGAGTAAGGACTTAAAACCGAAAATAAAGATATACAAACTTTGAGAACCAACCAAATGAAAATGAAGAATGACATAGCAGAAATAAAAAACACATTGGAAGGAATAACCAGCAGAGTAGTGGAAGCTGAGGACCAGATCGGTGAATTAGAAGACAGGGTAGCATCAATCAACCCATTAGAAAACCAAAAAAAAAAAAAATCAATTAAAAAACAGGAAGACAGCTTAAAATAACAACATTTGCATCATAGGAGTTTCAGAAGAAGAAAATGACAAGCATTTGAGAATATATTTGAAGAAGAAATGACAGAAAACTTGCCTAACTTGGTGAAGGAAGAAGGCATTCAAGTTCAAGAAGCACAGAGAGCCCCATGTAAGAAGAACCAAAACAGGCCCACACCAAGACATATAGTAATTCAAATGCCAAAAATTAAAGACAAAGAGAGTCCTAAAGGCAGCAAAAAATAAAAATAAGCAAAGGTTACCTACAAAGGAACTCCCATTAGACTATCAGCTAACTTCTCAACAGAAACACTATAGGCCAGAAGGGAATGGCATGAAGTAATCAAGGTCATGGAAAACAAGAATCTGAATCCAAGACTGTTCTGTCCAGCAAGGCTATCATTCAAAATAGAAGGTGAAATAAAGAGTTTTTCAGACAGAAAAAAAGCTAAGGGAATATAATAGTACCAAACCAGCACTGCAAGAAATGTTAAAAGAACTGTTGTACTTAGTAGAAAAAAATAGGAAGAAAAATATAACCATAATAAATGAAAATGGCAATAAATAAGTACATATTGACAATAACCTTAAATGTAAAACGATAGAACACTTTGATCAAAAGACACAGAGTAGATGCTTGGATAAGAAAGCATGATTCAGATATATGTTGTTTATAAGAGACCCACCTCACAACAAAAGACTCACATACATTAAAAGTGAAGGTATGGAGAAAAATCTTCCAAGCTAACAGAAAGAAAGCAAAAACCTGGGGTAGCAATACTCATATCTGATAAAATAGATTTCAAAATGAAGGCCATAACTAGAGACAAAGAAAGCCACTACATAATATTGAAAGGGTCTATTAAAAGGAAGATATAATCTTGGTAAACATACATACACCTAATATAGGAGCACCAAAATATATGAAAGCTCCTGGAGGACTTCAAAGGAGAAATTGATAGCAATACAATCATAGCAGGGGACTTCAACACCCCACTGACATCCCTGGGTAGATCCTCTGAACAAAAAATTTACAAGGAAACAGAGACTCTAAATGAAGCACTAGACCAAATGGATTTAATAGATATCTACAAAGTATTACACCCCAAAACTGCAGAATATACATTCTTCTCAAGGGACATTCTCAGAGATAGACCACATGTTAGGACACAAACTAAGTCTCTACAAGTTCAAGAAGACTGAAATCTTATCAAGCATATTCTCAGACCACAATGGTGTAAGGCTAGAAGTCAATTTCAATAATAACATGCAAGAGATTTGAATACATGGAGGATAAATAGCATGTTATTAAACAATAAATGGGTTACCATGGAGATCAAGAAAGAAATTATACATTTCCTTGAAACCAATGAAAATGAACACACAACAACACAAAGTCCATGGGATAAAGTGAAAGCAGTTCTGAGACGGACGTTCATAGCACTACAGGCCTACCTCAAGAAACAAGAAAAATTTCTAATTGAATATCTAACCTCACAACTTAAAGAACTAGAAAGCAAACAAAAGAAAACCCCAGAGCAAGTAGAAGGAAGGAAATAGTGGAGAGCAGAAATAAACATCATAAAGATTAAAAAAAAATTCAAAGTGTCAATGAAACAAAGAGCTAGTTCTTAGGAAAGATAAACAAGATTGATGGACCCTTAGCTAGATTCACCTAGAAACAAAGAGAGAAAACCCAAATACACAAAATCAGAAATGAAAAAGGAGAAATAATAACTAACACCACAGAAATACAAACGATTGTTAACAGATATTATGAACAATTATATGGCAACAAATTAGACAATCTAAGCAAAAAGGACAAATTCCTAGAAACACATAGTATCCCAAAAGTGAACCGGGAAGAGATAGAAACCTTGAACAGAAGTATAACAATGAAAGAAATTGAAGATTTAATCAGAACTCTTCCAGTAAACAAAGCCCAGGCCCGGACATCTCGGGGGAGTTTTACCAAACATTCAGAGGAGAACTAACACCCATTCTGCTCAAATATTCCAAATAATTCAAGAAGAAGGAAAACTTCCAAACTTGTTTTATGAGGCCAGGATAATTCTAATTCCAAAACCAGAAGAAAACACTAAAAAACAACTACAGGGCAATATCCCTAATGAACACAGGTGCCAAATTCCTGAAAAAACTACTAGCAAATAGGATCCAGCAATACATTAAAAAAATTATTCACCATTATGAAGTGGGATTCATCTCAGGGATGCAAGGCAGGTAACAATATTAGCAATTCAATAAATGTGATACAGCACATAAACAAAATGAAGGATGAAAACCATATGATGATATCAATAGGTTCTTGAAAAGAACTCAACAAAATCCATAACCCATTTCTGGTAAAAACATTCAGCAATGTGGGAATAGAGGGATCATATCTTGACATAATAAAGGCCATATATAAAAAACCTACAGCCAACATCATATATAATGGGCAAAAACTAAAAGCATTTCCCTTAAGAATAGGAACAAGACATCATACCCAGCAGAATTTTTACTGACACATCACCTAAGGCAATAGAAACAAAGGAGAAAATGAACACATGGGACTACATCAAACTCAAAAGCTTCTGCACAGTGAAAGATACAATCATCAAAACAGAAAGGCTACCCACTGTATGGGAAAGCATAATTGCCAATGATATATCAGATAAGGGGTTAATTTCCAATACATATAGAGTGCTCATACAACTCCACAAAAGGAAGACAAAGAAGCCAATTAAAAAATGGGCAGAGGAACTAAATAGACACCTCTCCAAACAGGACATACAAATGGCTAAGAGACATATGAAGAAATGCTCAACATCACTAATCAGAGAGATGCAGATTGAAACAACAATGAGATATCACCTCACACCTGTCAGAATGGCTGCCATCAACAAATCATCAAACAACAAGTGTTGGCGAGGGTGTGGAGAAAACGGGACTCTAGTACACTGCTGGTGGGAATGCAGACTGGTGCAGCCACTATGGAAAACAATATGGTGTTA